AAAAAATTTTGGTCCAAAAAATTTTGGGAAAAAAACTTTCGTCAAAAAAATTTTGGTCCAAAAAATTTTTGAAAAAAAATTTTGGTCCAAAAAATTTTGGGAAAAAAAATGTTGGTCAAAAAAAATTTTGGTCAAAAAAATTTGGGTCAAAAAAAAGGTTGGTCAAAAAAAATTTTGAAAAAAAATTTTTGGTCGAAAAAATTTTGGTCCAAAAAATTTTGGTTCAATAATTTTCAAAAAAAAATTTTGGTCAATAAAATTTTTGGACAAAAAAATTTTGACAAAAAAAATTTTTGTCCAAAAAATTTTGGGAAAAAAATTTTTGTCAAAAAAATTTTTGAAAAAAATTTTGGTCCAAAAAATTTTGGTTCAAAAAATTTTGGAAAAAAAATTTTGGTCAAAAAAATTTTTGGACAAAAAAATTTTGACAAAAAAAATTTTGGTCCAACAAATTTCGGGAAAAAAATTTTTGGTCAAAAAAATTTTAGAAAAAAAATTTTTGGTCGAAAAAATTTTGGTTCAAAAAATTTTGGTTCAAAAAATTTTTGGACAAAAAAATTTTGACAAAAAAAATTTTGGTCCAAAAATTTTGGAAAAAAAATTTTCGTCAAAAAAATTTTGGTCAAAAAAATTTTTGAAAAAAAATTTTGGTCAAAAAAATTTTTGAAAAAAAATTTTGGGAAAAAAAATTTTGGGAAAAAAAATTTTGGGAAAAAAAATGTTGGTCAAAAAAATTTTTGAAAAAAATCTTTGGTAAAAAAATTTTGGTCCAAAAAATTTTGGAAAAAAAATTTTGGAAAAAAAATTTTTGAAGAAAAATTTTTGAAAAAAAATTTTTGGTCATAAAAATTTTGGTCCAAAAAATTTTGGTTCAATAATTTTCGAAAAAAAATTTTGGTTCAATAATTTTCGAAAAAAAATTTTGGTTCAATAATTTTCGAAAAAAAATTTTGGTCAATAACATTTTTGGACAAAAAAATTTTGACAAAAAAAATTTTGACAAAAAAAATTTTGGGAAAAAAATTTTCGTCAAAAAAATTTTGGTCAAAAAAAGTTTTGAAAAAAAATTTTGGGAAAAAAAATTTTGGGAAAAAAAATTTTGGGAAAAAAAATTTTGGGAAAAAAAATTTTGGTCAAAAAAATTTTTGAAAAAAATCTTTGGTAAAAAAAATTTTGGTCCAAAAAATTTTGGAAAAAAAATTTTGGAAAAAAAATTTTTGAAGAAAAATTTTTGAAAAAAAATTTTTGGTCATAAAAATTTTGGTCCAAAAAATTTTGGTTCAATAATTTTCGAAAAAAAATTTTGGTTCAATAATTTTCGAAAAAAAATTTTGGTTCAATAATTTTCGAAAAAAAATTTTGGTCAATAACATTTTTGGACAAAAAAATTTTGACAAAAAAAATTTTGACAAAAAAAATTTTGGGAAAAAAATTTTCGTCAAAAAAATTTTGGTCAAAAAAAGTTTTGAAAAAAAATTTTGGGAAGAAAAATTTTGGTCCAAAAAATGTTGGGAAAAAAAATGTTGGTCAAAAAAATTCTTGGTCAAAAAAACTTTGGTCCAACAAATTTTGAGAAAATTTTGGAAAAAAATTTTTGGTTAAAAAAATGTTGGTCAAAAAAAATTTGGCCCAAAAAATTAAAAAAAAAAATTTTTGGTCCAAAAAATGAGCCGCTCAGTGCACACATCGACTA